CTCTGTATGCCGATCAATGACCCATCACCTCTCATATGTGGATAGATGGTAATCATTGGTATATCTTCTTTACCCTCGATGCATGATGGGCGTAATCATCGTCTGCTATCTGCCTCACTAAACAGGCGTGGGGTTCGTCTGTATTTCGTTCTTCTTCTTCTTCTTCTTCTTCTTCTTCTTCTTTTTCTGTTTTCTTTTTCTGTTTTCTTTTTCTTTTTGTTTTTCTGTTTTCTTTTTCTTTTTCTTTTTCTGTTTTCTTTTTCTTCTATTTCAGGTGGATGCGGGAGAGAGGTTTGCCCCTTGAGAAGCCTGGTGGCGCAGCTAGACGAAACGCGTCCCGGAATGTGCCCGTTGAGCACTTTTAGTCCGTGTGGGCGTTGTATTGCATATCATCCGGACATGGACGCATATCTTCAACTCAGTTTTTCTTCTCCCATTCTTCTTCTCCCATTCTTCTTCTTCTTCTTCTTCTTCTTCTTCTTCTTCTTTTTCTTCTTCAACGCCCTAGCACGTTTTGCTAACGGCACCATGGCACTCAAAGAGCCTTGCCGGAGGCTGCTTGAGTGCATGGTATGCTGGCAGGCAAAGAAGGGTAATGGACGATTGTACACTATGTAGATGCTGAAATCGGGATATTTAGATATGAAAATGGGGATATGTAGCTGTTAATTTCAAGTAGTCTGTCCTCCTTTTTACAGCCCTGCTCAGCACCCACGTGGAGAAGTACCTCCGCCTGGTTATCCTCACCCTACCAGGCTAACGGGTGACTGGTAATGCGACCGCGGAGTAGACCGGTAGGGACTGATTTAACCTTCCACTGTAAACTTGTAAGTTTATTTTTTGTATTTTAATGAGTAATTTAATTTGTAATTTAATTTGTAATTTATTACGATATATTTTTTCTGTTTGAATTTTTATTCGAAAGCGCACATGCAGTTTGTGACAAAGGTACGTGGGAATTTGTCCGTTTCTTTCAAATTGCTGGTCTCATAGGCAAGGTCTGAGATCTGCTGTATTACCGAAGTAAATAGGACCTATCTTTGGGGAAATTAATAGCCTATAGCATAGGGTAGGGAGTAGATAGTACTATTATTAATTCGAGGAGAAAGCAGGGGTACAGCACGGGTAGTACCCTTGGATATCCTATCCGCGGAAATCCTGGTTATCTTTTTTTTTTTTTTTTTTTTTTTTTTTTCCCCATAAAAAGGGCGACGGCCTTGAGATATTATCATTGAGCTCACCGGCCCCAAGCAATTCATTAGTAGTTGGTTTTACTCGTCATGCTCCATCATCTGGATTCGAACACAGGTCCGTATTTCAACAGTTCATGGGTGTGGTCCCCACTGAGATAGGCTCTTGGGTAAATCCTGGTTATCTGCGGCCGGCTAGGGCCCGCACTATTGCACGGGGAATTTCTTGGCGGGATAATCAGTTGTAGCCGATTTGAAATTCGAATGCTGCCGATATGTAAGTGAACGACGCAGCGGACTACCGGGAGTAGGCGTGTGGGACTGCGCCGGTAGCTAGTTGTGGATGGTATAACGGGAGGGCAAGGCCGTCGGCCCGCGATTCTCAGCTGCTTGGTCGGAAAGTCTGGTGGTGGTCCCCCAATGAAGGCGGATCTGGGAAGAAACCCCCTAAGGTGGAGTGCCAGGAGCGCAGCCTGATTAGCCGAAACGCGTCGGGGAAATTGGGCGTTTTTTCTGAGAACTGTAGATGCGGAGAAAGAAATGTAAATCTGTGTTGATGCGTGTACGAGGAGTCTTTTTTTTTTTTTTTTTTTTTTTTTTTTTGCACGATAACAATCATTGTTGATTTCTGACTTATTATTATTATTATTTTTTTTACGATAACAATCAGTTGACGAGAAGCAGTCTATGGCCACTGTTTTCACTATTCTTCTTCTTCTTCTTCTTCTTCTTCCTTTTTGTTGTTGTTGAAAGCAATAGCGATGGCGCAACAGACAGAGCTTGTGGTCGTCTTCGTCGTTGATTGGTGGTTGTTTGACAGATTCAGTAGAGGATGGTCACCTGGTCGGGTTCTTGGTCGAAGTACTTTCTCAATAAAGCTTTGTGTTCTGTACTTGGACTAATTTGTCTGTGTGTACGTGATTTTCACCTCTCCACCTCTTGGTCGAACGCAGCACCTCCGCCGGCTTCTGAGTGCGTCTGTCGTTCGGATAGCAATAGGGGACTGTGAAGTTGTGAGTGCGTCGTGGTCGGGATCGCAAGAGGATGGTGAGTGCGTCGATGTCGGGATAGCACCAGGATTGTCAGCGCGTCTTCGTATAGAAGATAGACGGGCAGATGCGCTCGAAATGTTTTGAATGGCAAAAAAAAAAAAGTTTTGGCTAATTCATTGCGTCTAACCACAAACGCACTTGAAGTAGGTGCTCTTGGCTCAAAAAAAAAAAAAAAAAAAAAAAAAAAAAAAAAAAAAAAAAAAAAAAAGAGGGAGGGGGGGGGGGGGGGGGGGGGCGGGGGGGGGGGGGGTGTCTCGCTCTCTCTGTCTCTCTCTCTCTCTCTCTCTCTCTCTCTCTCTCTCTCTCTCTCTCTCTCTCTCTCTCTCTCTCTCTCTCTCTCTCTCTCTCTCTC